TATATAGGCAATCCCTGAAATGACGCAAAATTTCAGTCAAACAAAGGAAAAGTTATTTGATTACAGCCTACGGCTTTACGGCCAATAACTAGGCTTTCCACCGAATGACGCATTACGCCCAATGACTACGACATATATGTAATAGGAGAACAAAAATAAAATAATTTCTGTAAGCTAGAACATTTATTTGTTTATAAAAATAAAAAACAATCTAATTATAATAGGAAACTAAAACAAAAACAAAACTTTTTCCTTAATGACTAATCACGTACATGGGACTAGTATACTATAATATAGTATAATATTTTATTAGTAATAAATAGTAATTAGTAATAATAAATTATTACTATTATTTATTATGTAAGTTAGTAGGTAAGTAATAAAAATAAAAACTTAAAAACTAAAAATTAAAAAATTCTCATTTTTGTTAAAAACTTTTCATTTTTAACATAGTGTAATACTGCTGGAAATGTATTAGACAAATTTTCGAAATTTACTAGATAATGTGCATCTGCATAATAAAAAAAAAACATTGTTTTAAAGCAAAAGAGATTAAAAAACTTGTTATTTACCATCGAGTTGTACCCTATTATAACAGCGTGCATTGGAACATGTCTGTTAATCTCACACTGCTTAACAAATATTTTATCTACCTAAAAGAAAATACTTAATTTCAAACTCAGGGATCAAATTTTCAAGCCCACAGTTAGAAGTAATTTGGACTGTTCATCAGCCATGAGGACATGCATATATGGCTAACAACACTAACAACACTATCACGTTTACCGAAAACACTGAAATGATAGCATATGCTTCTTCAACGGTTTAGAAATAAATGCGCATTAGCAGGGTAGGTGGGTGGTATCTTATTATACGTATAGTATGCTAATAGTTAACTTACGTACGTTTTTGAGAATCCTGGTAAAGTTATTATAACATTCCAACCTCTTATTATAAATATTGGTGTTATATTGTGTAAGACACAATTTTTTTCGACAGACGTTCTAATTAATAATAGTTATTTTAGCTTAATTCCTATTAATAAAGTAAACTAACTGTTATTCTATTAAAGTGTAATTTTAAGAAAATCCAATATCAATTTATGAGATATTTAAAGTAAATCTATTTTACTAACAATTAAATCGCAACTAATAATATTTAAAAAACCTCTTTGAATATATCCCTGATTACTCCAAAGTAGACGAAGTGTTCCCTTTCAGTATTCAGTAATAATAATGATTTTATTAATCTTATAAGTATTCTACTATACTGCAGTTAAGTAGTTCCTTTCAACCTTATATTTAATAATTATTACTTGTTTTTTTTTCTCTGTGTGTGGCTTTATGGCGCTTTAGTCACGGGCTGAAGTTAGCAACAGGTTTTTATTCATAGGCTGAAGTTAAAAATAAATAATATTAAATGGTAAAATTATTTTATTATCTCAATACAAAACTACAAAAGTATTAAATAGTTTTTTGACGCCAATATTTGAAAAGATTATATGAACGTTTGTACTGTAGTTAACTAGATTTAAATGATAAAGCGTTAAAATTTTTGCTTACAGTGCCCATAAAACATTCTCTTCTAGAAGCTTCTCTTTTACTGTAAAAAACTGCTTCTATATCGATCATTAGTCAATTTTCAAGGGAGAATTTTAATTTACACAAAAAAAATTGAGATTTTAACGCCTCCCATATTAAAAATTCTAATGGGAATTCCTATAAATACAACTGTTACTTTTTGTACCTTTAACATTTCCCGTGTAAGAATTTTTAATACTTTTTAATAATATTTTGCAATTATAATAATAAAAAAATCAAAGGAAAAAATATGTTCTTAACATAATCATATTTTAAAGTTATTTTATTACTATTAAGTATCAATAATTGTTAAGTTTAATTAAAATAATAACGGGCAATGTTAATCGTGAAAATTACGTCAAAAATGTTTATTGGGATGGTTACTTTATTTTCGTATAAATGTCGCTTTATACAAATATTTAATTTAAATCATTTTTTAGATAATATTAAGTATTTGACGTTAATAAAGTATAGTATGCAAATCGTTTATAAACTTTTTTAGGCACTTATTTAATTAAGCACTCTTGGCTAAAATGACGTTTATCAAACCTGATACATAATATACCTACTATTTAATCAAAAATTGTTTACATTTTGCCTAAGCTTGTTAAAAAATCAGTAAATCTTGCATCTTAAATAAAACAAATTGTTATAAATTATATTGTTTTTTTAAATAAATATCCATAATAGTATATTATGTATCAAGTTTGATAAAAGCCATTTTATACACGAATTTAATTTAGGCACGAGCGAACTTGCGAGCGAGTGCTTAAATTAATGAGTTTATAGAAAAGTTTATAAAGGAGGTGCATACTATACTTTTTCAACGACAAATACTTATTATTATCTTAAAATGATTTTAATAAAAAAATTGTATAGAGCGCCATCTATAAAACAATAGGGGAATCTGTGTGTCACCGTCAAATGTCAAATTTTTATATATTGTATAAACACAATTATAAAGGTTATAAATCGAAATGTATTTCTTGAAAATTGACAGTTTTTCACAGTGAAAGTAAAGGAAATAAAGAAAATTTTTCGAATTTAAGTTATAGTTTACTGCCGGTGAAATTAAATGTTACAATGTTCATATAAACTTTTCAAATATTGGCGTTGAGAAACTATTTAATACCTTTGTATTTTTGTATTGAGATAATAAAATAATTTTCACATTTAGTATTATTTTACAAGAAAGGCACTTTATTTAAACGATTGTATGACATTTTACAACTGTCAACTATCTTAAAACTATCTTCAGCCCGTGACTAAAAACATGTTGGTAACTTCAGCCCGTGACTAAAACGCCGTAAAACCACAACTTGTCAATGTGTATTTAAAAGGTCATTTAGTGTCATGGAAACATGTACGATAAAGTGCTTTTTAAAGGTGGGAGTAGAAAAAACAGTTTATTAAACAATACAAATTTTCTTATAAACAAAACAGCTAAATTAAATATCATTACAAGCGGTTTTTTTACAAAAACCCAAACATACATTTAAGGCATTCATTGTATTCAACTTGTATGTATTTAAACAACATTTCCATTTCGTTGCGGTGCAGTGGCATTTTCCTGCAACCCAACCCCTGCTATGTTGTAATTGTACCAAAAACCATTTGCGGCCTAGTCACAAAAATTCAGAATTTCGCCGCTTCAGTCCTGAAACAATAAAGAGTTGAAAATATCCTGCTGGCCGCAGGCATGCAAACGAGAACGAGAGACTTTCCTGCTACTAACAATTAAAAGTCAGAAATGCCTGAAAATTGGGACTCTTATTGTCGACAAAAAATGTTTTCGAATTATTTGGATAATATTTAGCAGGAAATAATCCTCCAATAATATTAAACATTACTATTTATACTTTTTAGTAAAACAAAAATGTGCTTCCTGATGAAAATCACAATAATCCTAGACTTTAGAACTAACCTATTTTTTTGCAGTATCATATCCTGCTAAAAATATTGATTAAAAATGTAACAATTATTCCTGCAAACTTAGGAGGTAGGTAAGCTTAAACTAGATGAAAGCAGCATTGTTTAGAAACTAAAGTTGGAAATTTTGATGCAGGAATTTTCCAGTTAATAGGCAGGCATGTAAACAAGAACGAGATACTTTCCTGCTACCAGCAATTAAAAGTCGGAAATGCCTGAAAATTGGGACTTTTGTTAAAGACAGAAAATGTTTTCGAATTTATTTAGACAATCAGCGGAAAATATTTCTTCAACGCTATTAAACATACTTTCTAGTTTAAAAACAATTAAAAAGTTAGCTCCTGCTGAAGTTACAATTATCCTCCAAACTAACGTATTTTCTTGCCTAATAAAAATATTGAATACAAATTTAGCAAATATACCTGCAAACTTCAAAAGTTGTTTTATTCTAAATAAAAGCAGGATTGTAAACTAAAATCAGACATTTTGATGCAGGATTTTTCCAGCCAATTGGCAGGCATGTAAAGAATGAGAGACTTTTCTGCTACTAACAATTAAAAGTCAGAAATACCTGAAAATTGTCGACATAAAATGTTTCCGAAGTAAAATCTTTGTAAAATTACAATAATCCTGGAAAGTAACCTTTTTTGTCGCAGTAACATATCGATTAAAAATGTTATTCCTGCAAACTTAAAAATTGGTAATTTTAATCCATATCAAAGCAGTATATTATTTTTGTTGCAGGAATTTTCCAGCGAATAGGCAGGCAGGTATCAAGAAGGAGAGGCTGTCCTGCTACTAACAATTAGTTAGAATTGACAGAAAATTTGGACTATTTTAAACAGGAAATATTTTCTAATTTATTTAGACAATCTGTATAGGAAGTAATCCTGCAACAGTATTAATGAAAAAGTTATTTTCTGTTGAAAATACAATAATCCTGCTAGACACCAAAACTAAACTATTTTGTTGCTAAAAATATTTATATCGAATAATTGTTATTTTAATCTGGAATAAAGCAGGATTGTTTAAAAATTAAAATCCAGCTAATTAACATTATTTTAATATGTTTTTTAATAAATACACTTCATTCCAATTAAATTGAACGTTTGGCCTCGCTGCAGAAATAACTCCTGCTGCTGATTTTAATTTGGTTAAATTCTGCATAGTTTAATTTATTTATACCTAACTGTTCGCGTTTATATTATATGGGCCGTAGAAAATATATCACGGATCTCCGCGAGCGCGCGTTCGCAGGAAAATAATTAAACCAGATAGCAGGAAATACTGGAAAGGCCTGTAGGCGCTTGGATTGACGTTTGTTTTAATTGTAATTGAACGCAGGAAAATGGAAATAAAATTATATTGTTGTAGTTCTGGATTTCCTTGCTAAATCCGGTAGTTTTTATGTTTGCAGGAAATATTTTTTAGATTTTTTTTTAAATTAATCTGACAAGATTAAACAGTAAAAATATTTTTTTTTTGTTTCAGATTCATCCTATTGTTCATTTATCTCATTCTGATTTTCCACATCCTGGCGGTTGGACTGTTTTACCTCTAATTCCAAGATTAGCTAATTTACATAAGGGAAACAGTTCCTGGATATTTTTTCTCGAGGATAGGACCAAAGTCAATTTGAATGTACTGCTGGACAAATTGGTGCAATATAATAGCCAAAAAGTAAGTCAAATTTTTGTTTGTATATAACTTCTGGTTGATATGATATTTTTTTATAGGAAATCTGGATTGGCCATGCATTGTATGACAAAGAAGCATCGATAATCCACCATTTTGCATTTTACGATGATCCAGCCTACTTTAAATACCCGAATATAGCTTCAGGGTTTGCTATGAGCATCACTTTAATTAAAAGGTAAGTAATTCTTAGTTACATAAACAAATAAAGAGATAACCGATTGGGCGCGCGAAATATTGCTCAGACCTTTTATTATCTCAATACAAAAATACAAAAGTATTAATATTTGAAAAGCTTATATGAACTGACCTTTTGATTTCGCCGTAGTAGGGCAGTTAACTAGAATTAACTGATAAAGCGTTAAAAATTTTGCGTACTGTGCCCATTAAACATTCTCTTCTCTTTTACTGTGAAAAACTGCTACTATATCGATTGTTAGTCTATTTTCAAGGAATAAATTTTGATTTACACAGAAAAATTTGTGATTTTAACGCTGGTGGATACCCAAGTTAAAAATTCTAACGGGAATTCCTATAAATACAACTGTCACTTTTTGTACATTTAACATTTCGCGTGTAAGAATTTTTAATACTTTCTGATAATATTTTTGCAATTATAGTAATAATATAATCATATTATATTCATATTTTGATTTTATTTTAATATTGTTCAGTTTAATTAAAATAATAACGGGTGAAAATTACGTCAAAATTTTAATCATTGTTTAAATCATGTGGAGTCGACCTTACTTGGCAAGTTCTAGAGGGTTAGGTTTCTCGGTTATTAAGCAGATTATCGTCATAAATGCTAAACTAATATTTACTTAAGTTGTGTTTAATCACAGGTTGGTCTTGTTGTTTAAATCGATTGTTTGAAATAATCAAATTAAACTGAATTAAATAACCATAAATTTGGTTTTATAACATTTGTTTTTTGTAGTGTTTCATAACTTTTATTAATTTTTTTGGATTTAAATATGATGATGGATTAAAATCTTGGTATCTTGATTTTGTTGGATTTTCATTGGAACAAAATTTCGGTGGTGCATCTCCATGCTCCTGGGGATATTTCGCGCCCCAATTGTTGAGCAATTGTCCTTGGGCATGCAGTCAGGAATAATAACGGGTAATCGTAATAATTTTAATAGGAAAATTAGAAAGTTTGCTAATTAGGAAGGCGCCGAAATTTTGTGGACATAAATTCTCACGTGAAACGTATACTTAAATGGTACTTTTCGAGTGTTTTAGTGTTGCTCTGACTCGGGGGACCGGCCGAAACTTGTGCGATTACCATAATTGAAACGCCCTGGTAATTTACCAAGAGAAATTGTGTTTTACACCGACTTACTATTTTAGTAGCAAAATTTGCCGTTTCTGTAGTCTACAAAAAAGCGTGAACTTTTAAAATTGAAGTGCGTCATATTGTTTCCGCATTTTTTCTGCTGAGGCAAATTTGATGTGTTTGACATTCTTTTTCGTTGCGATCCTTGGTCTTTTCAGGCAATAAATTTGATCTTAATGCGGACGCCTTAGCACCAATATTTCTTTTGATATCTTCCTGAATGTCCATTTTATATATGTTTATAGATATATATCCATAGGTTGGGTGGGTGGGGGTTTTCTTAGATAGGTAGGTTAGTATTAAAGTTATTTTCTGTACTGCGCCCTCCAGCGGGTGTAGTCGAAAAAAGATATTCAAATTATTGTTTAATTTTTTTTTACTTTCACTAGAAGTAATTTTAATATTTTTCTAGTGAAAGTAGGAAGAGAAATAATAAAACGTAATGAAACTACACTTTAAAATTTGTAACTATTATTTTATTTATGATGCTTAAGAAATCAACGTATTTTTTGTTATTTGGTCTAAAATATGTACAATTGGCGTCTCCGAAATGTGAACGATTTTTTGTTGTCATGGATTTTTTTCATAAAATTTATTCGTTCATTCCTGGCTTCGGCCAGTGGTGTTACATATAGAAGGGAGAATACTAAGAATAAGAACAATATCCTAAATCGTTCTATTTTTTTAATAATATTTTAACAAACAATAATATAAACAATATAACAAATAAATTAACTTTAATTTGGTTTTATACAACAATATAAATTAACAAGTAGGTAAATACACAATAAAAATAACATAACTAAATTAACATATTGCTCAAGAAAATTGGTTTTTAAGTGAAATAGCGGCAGATTTAAATGTCAGTAAAAGCTGCATATTTTATATCAAAAAACGTTGGCAAAAACAACAAAGATTGAGAAGACCTATCAGGCAAGGTGTAGGTAAAATCTCCAACGAAAATGAAGACAATGCTCTTGTCGCACTTATTAGGCAAAATCCTTTCAATAGCGCATTTAAGGCCCGAGAAGATACACAATTTCCAGGATCTCTTCGAACAGCTCAAAAAAGATTGAAACAAGCTGGCTTAAAAAACTGTGCTGCTAAGCTATTTTAATACTTAATTGCAGAGCCATTAGCTGTCACAACCCTTTGCAACCTTCTTGGCATGGACATTATTAGCTCACGCATGTCGTATGAATCAGCAAGCTCATCCCAAGAATTTTCAACAGCACTCCATAGTTCATCTCGGTTTGCTGGCCTAAAGTCCCGTTGATATATATTTTTAACTATAAAACCCCACACGTTTTCAATGGGGTTTAAGTCAGGGCTTCTAGCTGGCCATGGCAAAACAGTTATGTGGTTGTTGTTTACCCACTCTGTAACCACGCGAGCTGTGTGAACTGGTGCATTGTCCTGTAATATAATATTTATTAGAATCGTTTTTGAATACTATACAGTTTTCTTACATGTTGAAATATAAAGTTTTCTGGAAACACATGTCTAACTGAAGGTAGCATAACGTTGTCCAAAATCCTGGTATTGTGCTCAGCCGTTAATCTACCATCAATTTCCCAACATACTCCCGGACCATGGATGCTTATCCACGCCCAAACATTTATGGAAAAGCGTCCACTATTTGAGGTTTTTAATGTATAGTTCTCCTTAAATCTTGCGTTTCTTGGACGATATACACGCAGCCTTCCATTATTGCAAGATTGGAACGTTTTTTCATCCGAAAATATAACATTATTCCAAAAATCTTCTCCATAATTGGCGAACTGGACTCTCCTGCGCTTATTTTCTTCAGTTAAAAAAACCTTATGAGCAGCAGCACAGTTTTTTAAACCAGCTTGTTTCAATCTTTTTTGAGCTGTTCGAAGAGATCCTGGAAATTGTGTATCTTCTCGGGCCTTAACTGCGCTATTGAAAGGATTTTGCATAATATGTGCGACAAGAGCATTGTCTTCATTTTCGTTGGAGATTTTTCCTACACCTTGCCTGATAGGTCTTCTTAATCTTTGTTGTTCTTGCCAATGTTTTTTGATATAAAATATGCAGCTTTTACTGACATTTAAATCTGCAGCTACTTCACTTAAAGACCAATTTTCTTCTAATTTGGCTATTGCCCTGGACCTCTGAGCCTCGGTTAAGTGGGGTGGCATTTTTAATATTGCAATTGACAACTATTATCAAATTTGACAACTACCGACGACACTGATGCAAAGCCCATATTACACGATTAAATTTTGCCGTTCACATTTCGGGGACGCCAATTGTACCTATGTACTATGCTCCACACCTCAGAGTCCCACCACGTGACCACGTACGGAACGCAGTCTTTTGAAAATTTGGCATTTAAGGCTTTTCAGGTTATGTATCTGTCAAAGTATAGTCAACGAAAGAAATAATATTATGTTTACGCGTTAAAAATGTATAAATCTTCATAACATTACAATAACAATGGATGGTTTAAGAATTTAAGAATATAAATACTGCATTTAATGAAATTCTTAAGTGTATGGTGCCAAATAAGTAATATTTTTGTGAATTTGGTCCAAATATCTGGTTTTCTCCATAAAATAATTTTAACTAAACAGCATTTATTAAAAAAAATCTAGCTTCTCTATTATGGAATAAGAATATCTGTTTTAAAGGTAGGTTAATATATTATAACAAAAATATCATCTAATTTTGTAATTTTAAGGTTAGAAAAATTTATTTTGACCAAAATAAATAAGTATTTTGGATTATTTAAAAGACTGTATAATATGGTATTTAAAAATGTGGTATTTTTTCTTATCCAGCTTAAAGTGTACCTACATAAAGTTTTGTCAATACAAATAGTTAAAAAGCTTCAAATGACTGAACTGGATCTACATCGAAAAATCATTATAACTAATTTTAATAAATCACATGTCATGGGAGTATTAAATATTTTCACATTGCAAGTTTCTCTAAAAAAATTTAGTTTTCTTATAATCTACCTAACTTAAAGTAGGTATGCCGAGAGGTATGCACAAGTTTTGTTATTGAAAGTATAAAAGCTTCAATTTAATTTGAACCATATTCAACAATTATTTAGTATACCTAAATTTATTTATGACCATATTAACCCACTCTTCTAAATAATCCACTTATTTATTTTGGTCAAAATAGATTTTTCTAACCTTAAAATACAAAATTAGATGATATTTTTTGTTCTAATACATTAACCTACCTTTGATACAGATATTCTTATTTCATAATAGAGAAGTTAGATTTTTTTAATAAATGCTGTTTAGTTAAAACTATTTTATGGAGAAATGTAGACCCAATGCACAAAAATATCACTTATATTGCACCTTACAATTTGGAATTTCATTAAATGCAGTATTTATATTCCTAAATTCTTAAACCAACCATTGTTATTGTGATACCATAAAGATTTATTAATTTTTAACGGTTAAACATAAGCGGTAACTGTTATGTTATTGCGAGAGCTTGGACTGGGTTCTAGATAACACAATGATGATGATATATAAGTATATTTATTCAGTATCAAATACAGACATTGAACTATGAATTAAACGTCTATGACACATATGACAATTAATGACTGTCATCGCCAACCTTTATTAACTGAGCCATTGGACTCAATATCACAACACGCCCCTTCTTAAGATACATTTTTTTTATATATAAATATAATAACATTTTAGGGCTAATTAGTTACGTCATTTTCAGTAAAAGAAAACCTTCTTGGTTTTATAACCTGCCTACCACTTCTGGTGGTATAATTATTATTAACACTTGTTTGCTCAGGGCTTAAGTCAATAGAGTTAGGACTTTGTTCA